CAGCTTAGGACAGCGCTGAGGAAGCCGGCCGTCTTCGCCACCTTCAGCCATCCGTGCGAGCTACGCTATCCGGCGACGTATCCTTTTTACTCTGTTTGTATTCTCTTTTAGCACATTACTCCTAAAAGAGCAGCGAGCGTCTTTTTCAAGATGCCACGCACTTCCTGTGGCTCGTGCAGGGCCCCGCTCAGCGTCGGAGACCGCCACGTGATCTGCGCTCTCTGCCTGGGCCAGGAACACGCGGAGCTCGCCCTCGCATCCGGGGGCTGCGAGTTCTGTGAAGCGCTTCCGCTGTCGACCCTGCGGGCTCGACTCGAAGCCTTCAACCCGGAAGCAGTCACTCCGCCCTTTGTGAGACCGCGCAAAAAGAAGCGCCGTTCCCAGAGACAGCCGGAACCCGTGGCCACAGCGACGCGCTCGCCGGAGAACCTCCCTCGAGCCTCGCTCTCGCCTTCCCCGCCTCCTGTTACCACAGGTGATCAAGAGAATCAGGGAAACGCGCCACTCGGTGCTCCTCATAGCTCCGCACTGGGAGAATCAGAATTGGTTCCCGGAACTAGCACGGCTGTCACATGCAGCTCCGTGGCCGATTCCGGTGAGGGCAGATCTCCTATCTCAGGCTCGCGGCTCGATCTGGCATCCCCATCCAGAGCGCTGGTCTCTGCACGCATGGTTGATCAACGGGTACTCGTTGCCCTGCCAGAAAGAGTGATGAACACGATCACGCAGTCTAGAGCTCCTTCCACGAGAAGGCTCTACGCGTCTAAATGGTCGGTGTTCTCCAAGTGGTGCACCGACAGAGATCTGGACCCGCGGACGTGCGAGGTTGCGCATCTGCTCACTTTCCTACAAGAGCTGATGGATAAAGGGAGGTCCCCATCCACGCTCAAAGTTCATGTGGCGGCCGTGGCGGCGTTCGCAGAATCGACGCACGGCCAGTCAGTGGGAAGACATCAGCTGGTCATCCGCTTCCTTAGGGGAGCTAAAGGATGAATCCGCCGCGCCCCCCATCGGTTCCTATGTGGGATCTTTCCTTGGTCCTCGAGGCCTGTCAATCAGTGCGACGTGTCTTGAGTTCGGGCTGAATGATCCAAAAGTGATGGGCACTCCTTTCAGAGCGCAAGTCATTTCACTGTCGGCTCTACCAGCGTCAGACAGTGAGACAGACGTGAATCTCCTTTGCCCGGTCAGGGCGCTGAGGTTTTACACTACGCGCTCCGCCTCTTTCAGGCACACGGAGCAGCTTGCTTTGTTTCGTTTGGTGGGCGCACCAAAGGTCTCGCTGCCTCGAAACAGACTCTGTCCAGATGGATAGTGGACGCTATAGCGGCCGCTTACGCGTCAAAAGGTCTGCAATGCCCTCTGGGCATCAGGGCTCATTCCACTAGAGGCATGGCCTCATCGTGGGCGTGGTCTAGCGGGATTTCTATCCACGACATATGTGTAGCAGCGGGCTGGAGCTCCCCGTCTACCTTTGTCAGGTTCTATAACCTAGAAGTTCCCGCCCTGCAGGCTAAACTTCTGTCAGTCTAAGCGAGTTGTGCGTTCTGCCCAGATATATCATGCTCAGACCACTCTCACGTGACTCAGCTCTCCTGGTTGAGCTGCACTAGTAGTGATGTGCTATATGCTTATACAGACCAGTGCTCTGCTCTGTATTCCCTATGTGTGCTTATGTATGAGTGATGGCCCGCGTGGCTGGCCACCTATTTTTTCCACTTATTGGGTTCCCCGAGAAACCTCGGCGACTCATGGGTGGTTGCTTGGCGCGCACGGCGTTGACAAAAAGTTCCCGTAGCGTAAGCTAAACTTATGCAATACGAGAGAACCTCTCGTAAGAGAACGTACTTGGTTACTAACGTAACCTCGGTTCTCTCTAGAGAGGGAACGAGTATTGCGTAACCGGCCGTGCTCGCGCCACGAGCGACTTCGCTTCAGTCGACGAAAACCAGGGAATTCAGCCTACAGCCCCCTCTTTTATACGCTAAGCCACGCCCATTCTGGCGGGCTATGATGCTATGAAGACGCGGGCGTCCTTCATTGGGCGTGACGTCACGCCGGGGTCACTGGTAGGCTGCAGCAGATGCCCGCAGGGCAGCCAATGAGCACGCAAGACTGCCTGCTCTAGGTCTGCTAGCTGCTGCACTGCGTTGACAATGAATACAAAATTAAGGATAATTTTTTGGCTTCAATATCTCGAGAAGATGAATCTTTCCCGTAGCGTAAGCTAAACTTACACAATACGAGAGAACCTCTCGTAAGAGAACCGAGGTTACGTTAGTAACCGAGTACGTTTCACTTTGTAGTACATTCTTGTAGGTTTGATAGGTTTTCAAAGTAACTTTAAAGTAAATTAATTAGTCATCTGATTACTTTTTACATGCATTAATCAGTAATGTAATCAAATTACAATTTTAAAGTAGTAATTTGTAATTTGTTGTGGATTACTTTTTTTTAGTAACTTACCAAAGACTGGCCGTCGGCCCCGAGGAAGCCCCGGAAGTGACAGTGGAAACGCGACTGGCCCTGGCACGCACTAGCACGCTCGCTTTTGGCCCGATAGTGGAAGCATGGCTATTGAATCATTATTTTCCTGTTTGTCACTGTAAAGCTGCTTTGAAACAGTATGTAGTTATATATAAATAAAGGTGACTTGACATATTTTTGGAGGACTGGAGCATGAAATAGATTTTTTTTTTCTACTGCTTTTGACATCACAGCGATAGACGAGTGACAGGCTTTAAATAATAAGTCAATCAGCATTTTTATGATGCCATTTCCCTGCAGCTCAGAAACGCATGGCGTTTACGGCTCAAGTGATTGGCCAGAGCCGAATCCACATGAACAAATATGGCAGATTTCAAATCGCATACTTTCGGGGGTGTCTGTGCTTGCAGAGCCACTACAATTGCAGTGAATGGGAACACTAACAGAGAGCTTTCTTCAGCTATAATAGACCGGCTTGTTTGGGACAAGTTGTAATAGGTTTGAAACTTGATTTGGTCTGTTGAAGGGAAGTTTCACAAAGCTTGAATTCTCTCGCAATGACACACACTTTAAGTAATCGGCATGTCGCGTTCTCCCTCTTTCAGTGCCATGCTAGTGTATATGTGGGGACACTCATGCTTCCTCTGCAGGGAGAATGAACAGACTCGTTCGCACTGACTGCAAACCGCCTCGGTTTCTCTGTGAGAGCAAAACAATCGCACAGAGGGTCACTGCTAACCGAACCATGAATCAGCTCTGTATTCCATTTACCCATGCAATTAATTACTTTTTAAACATTCAAATCAGTCCCACTCTTACTTCTTCTCTATCAATCCTAACCATTTAATCTATCTATCCATTGTTCCATCATCAGGAAAAATGATTAGGACTGAGGGAGAGCTTGAAAAGGGGGGAAGGGATTTATGTCACTCTTTATTTTTTGGCTGACTCAAGCTCTGAGACTGCTGAGGATGGAGTTCTGAGCTCATTTCACTTGCAGGGAAAAGAGAGACGGTCATTTGCTCAAACTTCCATTTAAACCCTTTCAGAGGAGCAGGTGTTAGAAACGCTCGGAGGCTGAGCACATTCATGTTTATGTATTCAGTGTAAGTGTGTAATCTCTTCCATGTTTTAATCAGTCCTTTAATGTGATTAATTTCGTTGTATAATGAGCCTGTCAGGTCTAATTTTGTCCTCCTGGAGGGAAAAGAAAAACATGGGATTTCTTGTTCTGTGCTGTTTGCACACACATATATTATCAAGATGGATGAAGAGTGTTGAGTTTCAGAGTCATCATTCACTCCTGTGATTTTGCAATAGATTTTACCGTTCCAAGAAACAGGATACACAAAGGACTTGTGATTACAATGAGACCGATGTGCATTAGACAACTTGAGTGTTTCACTTGTGATTACCTCAGTGACACCATGTCCAAACCAGTTGGAGACAATCAAACAGGCTCGACTACACACAAAAAAGCCTGTTCTTGAACTTTTTAAGTCAGCTTCAATATTACCAGGTTTGCATTTCACACATATTTTTGAATCTGTAAAATCACTGATAAGAAACACCTTTTTTAGTTCTTCTTTGATATCAGTGAGTGAAAATTAACTTTTAGCTAATCCATATTCTGTGCTTCTGTATACTTCATGAAAGTGAAAACTAACAGAATTGTGTTCAAATGCATTTTGACTATGGGTTCATTTAAAGCCATTTAAATATGTCTGGAAGAAAAATCTATTCATAAATGGTAAATGGTAAATGGACTGCATTTATATAGCGCTTTCACAGACCCAATGGCCACCAAAGCGCTTTACATTTTGCCTCACATTCACCCATTCACTCACTCATTCACACACCGACGGCATAAGGCATAATGATCCTTTTTGAACAAAAATGAGGAATTACTAAATGAATCCAACAAAATGCAAACAAGCTGTTTTAAATGTACAGGCATTACCCATTCAGCCTTATCCCAGTATGCACTGGGGCATGAATAGTTCATATTTGACAGTTTGCAAGTGTATTTACACTGTTGTTGTTGATTTTGTCACATTATTGTCTTGATATGTCAGGATGAGTTTGTTCCCTTTACTTGAAATTTTAAGTTTATTGAGTTGGCGTGCATAAACAAATATTTTATAATTGTATGTTATTTACTTAATGTAAATAGGAAAGTGTAACACACTTTCTATTCAGAAACATAGTGGTTCGGTTAACTCAATTATTGTAGTTTTTTTTTTGTAATGATCTATTTACAGTGACTCATTTTAAACTATTTATTTTAAGAAGCTTACATGATTGATACATAATTCTATACATAGATGTGTTTTTAATTAATAATATTGCTTGTAATCTGTTGCCATAATTTTATTAAGTGTATATATATTCTGTATCATTTCCCCATATAGATGACACTGATCTGTATATGATTAAAGCAGCTGGAGTGTGGATGAAGGCTAATGAGGGGAGGAGTTCATGGAGAGAGGGAGACAGTAGGAGGAACACAAGTAGCCCACAAAATACGTTTAGTGCGCTCACTAGATCATAGTATATACTGAGACATAACTGAAACTGACAGAGCACGAGAAAGACATAGACGCACTTTGCTTTTCTGTCTGACAGCTGGACGGACAGAAGCAAATTTTACTTAAATTATTTTACATAGTTCCTAAGCAAAATCACAATGGTAAACGGTGGATATCTAAAAGACATTCAGAGTCAAGACAGAAGGCGTGGACGTGGCATGGACAGAGCAATATGTGGCTTAGTTCGTGAAGAAAACTGTGGATTATATCGCAAATTGAAACACTTACAGTGAAGAAAAGCTGACTGAAGGTAAGTGCTGCTAATCAATCAGCGGTCACATATAGCGCGCACCACTAAACTATGACACTCACGTGCTGTCTTCAGACACTACAATGTCAAACATGATTTTAATGTTGAATACAAATATTTGGTTAGGATTATGTATTGAGTGTTTGACCATTGGAATAAATAGCGTTCCTGCTGTTCCTAATGGCTAAAAATAATACAAACGAAAATTGCAAATGATATAAAATTGTATGTCTTTTTCAAATTATCTGAAGGTTATCTGAGGGCCAATATGTTGCATTTTTATTTTGTTAACCCCAAAAAGTTAACTATTGCCATAGACCTATGTATTTTTTTTACTTTATAGGAGATCAATTTTTTTAAAGGATAAAGGGACATTAAATATGTGTTAAATAAAATCCCGTGAAGTTATACATTTTCACTTTATGACTTTAACATTTTTAAAATGTCAGTAATTTTAACAGGAAAATGATGTAAAATACAGTAAAAACTGCATTGGATTACTAAGTTACACCTTAAATTACTTTAAAAATGTTATTTGTAGTAAAATATGACCTTACCTTATAATCTATGGATTACAATATATTTTTTGTCAAAGAAATCCCTAAAATATTGATAAAAGCTAGTAAAAAGTGAGTCATATGATAAACAGTAAAAGGATGTAATTCTCTGTACATCACATTTAATCATATTTTACTTGGTAGCCTATATGTAACATTTTATGTTGCTTAGTTAATATTTGATGTATTATTTTAATGTCATGCTTTTTGTGTTTGTGTGGGTAACATTGCGCATTCTCTTTACATATTAAGCTAGTAAATGCTCATAGAGAACTTCAACATTATGAGCTTTGTTTCATCATGTAATGTTTAAATAGTTCAAGTGATATATTAAATATATGTTAGTTAATGAAATTTTGTTTTAAAAGTAAAATATATGCCTGAAAACCTGCCATCATTATTTATGAATTTCTGGCAAAGACAGAGCTCCCAGTTTTTGCCAATACATCTTACGGGATTTTTTTACTGTGTAGAATATGGGCAGAATAGTTTCTGTTTTGTCACAGGTAAAGTTAAAGCGTATGCATGGGTCCAGCAGCCCACTATAGAGTTAGGATAAATCACAGTTCACTTGTCAGTTCAGAGTCATCTGCAGTACAGTGCTAAAATAATTAACTTGTAGAACACAATGTGAACAATACTTTATATAGTCCACACAAAGTATTCATAAAATTAATTCGCTTCATCTCATTTTGAGGTAAACACACATTCTGAATGGTGGAATTATATGGCTGAGGTCAGCTGGAAAGGTCGCTATACATCCGTCACTCTCATATACCGTACACATGGAGGCCCGTGTGTTTCAGAGCGGCACTGATTGCACTTGATGCTTTTCATTTTCCTCTTAATTAGGACTCTAAAATGCTTTACAGTCTTTCATGAAAAGCTTTATCCACGAACGCCCGATGATTTGCTGGACATTTGGTCATAGTGATAATGTAGGGTGAACACATTTGTGATTGATTGCCTTCTAAATGATTTTGTGAAGTGGAACTTTGGCTTATCTTATGTGAATTTCATGTTAGGCTATAAAATATGTAGGTTTACAAATATTTTCATTTAAAAGGGCTTAACACTCACCGGCCACTTTAGGTACACCTGTTCAGCTGCTTTTTAGTTAATGCAAATATCTAATCAGCCAATCACATGACAGCAAACATTTAGGCATCTACAGTAGTCAAGACAATCTGCTGAAGTTCAAGAATGAGCATGATGCTGTTGATGCTGAGCATCAGAATGGGGAAGAAAGGGATTTAAGTGACTTTGAACATGGCGTGGTTGTTGGTGCCAGACTGGTTTGAGTATTTCGGAAACTCCTGATCTTATAGGATTTTCACACACAACCATCTGTACAGAGAACTGTCAGACTGATCTCATGAAATGGCGTATGTATGACACGCCAATTCGTATTTCCATTTTTGGCGTGCTATCAACACGCATAATCGCTTTTCAGCGTGTTTATCAACGCCTTTGACTTAACGTTATATTACTGTATTATGCATATATAAATATATGACCTACCCCAACCCCGTCCCTAAACCTACCCGTCACTGGGGTTAATACCATTTATGAGTCTTCTCCTACCATCCTAGGAAAAGAAATATCGCTCCACAGATGTAGATATAGATTTTGCTTCGTTTCGCTCGGACATTTAACGGCGTAGACATACACGCGGAATCACTCGGACATTTAATGGCGTAGACATACACGCAAAAGATTTCGGCGTGGACATACACGCGGATATTTCAAAATGCGTATAGATAACACGCCACTTGAATTGAAAGTGGCGTGTATGTTTACGCAAAGTCATGATGTCATGTTGCAACTGTAGTGAGTGACATTTCTGTGTGTGAAAATGCCTTGTTGATGCCAGAGGTCAGAGGAGAATGGCCAGACTGGCTCGAGCTGATAGAAAGGCAACAGTAACTCAAATGATCACTCGTTACAAGCGAGGTCTGCAGAAGAGCATCTCTGAACGCACGACACAACAAACCTTGAAGCAGATACAGGACTCCAGCAGCAGAAGACCACTCAGGTGTCAATCCTGTCAGGTAAGAACAGGAACCTGCAGAGGCCATGATTCAAACAGGCTCACCAAAATTGACAGTAGAAAATTGGAATAATGTTGCCTGTTCTGATGAGTCTCTATTTCTGCTTCGACACTTAAGATGGTAGAGTCAGAATTTGGGATTAACAACATGAAAGCATGGATCCATCCTGACTTGCACCAACGGTTCAGGCTGGTTGTGGTGTAATGGTGTTGTAATGGTGTGGGGGGATATTTTTTTGCCACACTTAAACACCACAGCCTACCTGAGTGTTGTTGCTGACCATGTCCATCCCTTTATGACCACAGTGTATCCTCTTCTGATGGCTACTTCCAGCAGGATAACACACGTCACAAAGCTCAAATCAACTCAAACTGGTTTCTTGAACATGACACTGAGTTCTCTATACTCAAATGGCCTCCACAGTCACCAGATCTCAATCCAATAAATCACCTTTGGGATATGGGGGAACGAGAGATTTATATCATGGATGTGGAGCTAACAATGGATGTGCAGAAATTGCATGATGCTTTCATGACAATATGGACCAAAATCTCTGAGGAAGGTCTCCAGCACCTTGTTGAATCTGTGCCATGAAGAATTAAGATAGTTCTGCTGGTAAAGGGGCCCAACCGGGTACTAGCAAGGTGCACCAAAAGTGTACATAAAGTGGCTAGTTGAGTGTAGAATACGGGAATGTGAGGTCATTAAACAGAATAGCTCTTTCGGCATTATCCTGAACATTAGCATTCGTTTCGTGTGACTGAATGGAAGAGAGGCTCTCGGGAGCACGTGCAAATATCACATCCTTTTGATTTTCCCGGCAAAATGTCCCGAGTGCTTCACATAAAAATCAGTCTACAGGTTTTCAAAGACAACCTAGAAAGTCGGGAAAGGTCTTGTTTTTTTTTATTGTTTTATTTTGTTACAAGCTGTTCACATATTGTCAATAAAAAAGCTATTAATACATTAAATAAAATTCTTACACATAGCTCCTTTAACATTCCATGCATTAATCCATAGAACAAAAACTAAATGCAGTGATTAATTCAAATCTTCAGTGCGTTGCATGCTTAATTGTCCAGGATTTAGAAGACAAAAGTAGCTATGCAATGGAACCTGTTAACTCTGCAAAACTGGAATCTCAGTTGTCTTGAGTCAACATGTGTGACCTGCTTTTGTTGAAACCTTACAAAGCTTTATGGATTTTTGGACTGAGAGAAAACAAATACTAGGTCAAGTTAGGTTCCAAGTGCCCCACAGCTGTTCCAAATTTCAGCGGTGTTTACCAGAGTTGCACTAACATAGGCTGGATTCATGCCTAAATGTTAATGTGCCTCACTAAGAACTTTGAAATCACAGAGAGAATCCTGTTATAAGTAAACAAACCCAAACACTCTGTGAACCTGAGAGGTTTCAAAGTCCATCGATGTCTGATGATGTATTCACTTATGGTTCCCTTGTGTATGGCCCGGACTATGCACAATAAAGAAGGATAAAAAAGGTATGGACTGTTTGCTCGTATTGTTTTTGTAGTTTCGATTGTGTCATTTTCATTGTTTCCAAGGTTTCGGGGTGTTTGTAAAGACTGCACTGTGATCTGTTTAAACAGGGATATATGTAATGAGTTAATGAGTATATGTAGACCAGCCAGTAGAGCATGAACCTGTTTCCAAGATCTCCATGTCCTCGTTCTCACACACACACACACACGAATACCTGAAAAACTGTAAAATTAAGAATATTTGCACACAAAAAAATTGCCACAACTATACTGTACCTCACTATACTATACTATACTATACTATACTATACTATACTATACTATACTATACTATACTATACATACTTTGGTAAAATGTCTCTCAGTGTTGGAGGAATGCGGGTGTGTTCTTGGGCAGGACTCTGGGGTTCTGACCCGTGAACAGAACAGAGCTGAAACATGAAAGGACAAACAGACAGCGGAAATGGGTTAGATAAACAAAAGAGCTAACAGATGAAAATAGGTGGATCACTCAGTCATCCTTCCTGTGGTGTGGCTGTTTTCCTGTGATTGACAAAGACACAAAATAATAATAAAGAAGGATCGACATATACTTGTAAGTGTTTTTTTCTTGGAAACAGCCAGGACTATGTAGAATGACTTTTTTGGTCAAAGTTAGATGTGTGCAGTTGCATTCAAAAGTTGTATGCCTTATGAAAATGCATTATTTTCTAATTAAATTATACTATCAACATTGCAAATCTGAAGGAAACATTTATTTGATAATTATCATGAGTTTGTTTAAAACCTGATTATCATGTTTTCAAGCATGAAGTTTTAATATGGTCTCTTTGTGACTCAGACAATTATATTGAAAAAAGATCCACTGCGGTTAATTGGCACTTTTCCTTC